GTTTAGCTTCATGAATTGAGTCGAATACTAGTGCCTGGCCCCTATCTTTTCGTAGAAGCTCCAATAGAGTAGTCTGAACCCATGCGGAATTGCAAAAGAACCTTACTAACATACACAAAGTTTAATGAGGAGTGGATTTGGTTAATGAAAGAGGGTGAGATTGTAGTGTTACCCGCAGAAAGTAAAGCAAGTTCATGGCACACGACTGAGTAGCTTAGTCTATCCCTTGGCGGTTCACCAAGTCATGATACTACAGTAGGACAATGGCCAAGAATGCTGAATATGAACCAAAATATCATGTTCCCAACCTGAAATTCAAAACGAAATATCATTCAATGAAAAATTTTCCAACTAAAGAAACTGAGAGGACGATAATATAAGCCAAGCACGGCCAGGCTCCACAACCACAAGTTTCCTGGCATTCTGTAGAATAATTTCTTATTCATGTACTCTACATGAGACCCAAACTCAGATAAAATATCTTAGCTATTAAAGGAGACCCAAATGCAACATTACATTTTTTACAATAGACAAGTTAAAGTATGACGACTTTTCTTTTTCATTCTTGAACTTAGTGTCAACAAACTCATCAAAGCAATGTTCAGAAAAGGCTAACAAAGTGAATTGTTTCTTTTCTTCACAAGATAATAAGAAATGGCTGATTTCAGTATATCAAAGATTGAACATAACGATAAATCACAGTCGAGAAGGAAAATTGCTTTGAAAAAAATATGGGTTGAGAAACACAACCTATGGGCGTTGTTTGTCCCGTCAACATGTATAAAACCATCACAATGGGTAAATGGAAATATGGATGAGTAATTATCTACGGTAAGCACTTATGTACACGCATGTTAAATGGCAGCTGATTCAAGAACCTAACAAGATGAGCAAGAAATTTCCTTGATGACAAAATACCTGATAACATTATGTAGGAGAAAGCATAAAGTAGACCAAACTCTTAAAGCTAACATTGTGAGGGCAGTCTGAATCCAGGGAACTAGGCATGACATCTCCCTAAAGAAACTATTTGATGACATTAGAAATTTAAAGCTAACATACCAAATCATCAAGCATCATTCTGAAATAATGACAATATCAAACCAAAAAAAAGGAAGCAAGGGTACAAGGCATGATTAAAGAATTTCTAATCCTAGGAATGATTAAAGAATGAGCAGCATTAAAATTGTGAGTAAAATTTTAAAAAGTTACTTAGAAAACCAATGAAAAATAAGCTATCCACTCAAATCTGACTCCTGACTCCATTTTCTCAGTTCTAAACTTATACAAAGAACTAAATCAGGGGTTTTGGACAAGAAACAAAAATTATTGTCTCAACAATAAAAACCAAATAAAACACTGTAATTTAAAGCTAATAATTTATTAAGAACTCTAAACATCAAGGACCTGTGAAATGAAACCAGATTATGACCTGATCAACTAATCTGTAAATTACTCTCATGTCATGATTCGTATGAGCATGTGAGACCAATTACAACCGGACAATGCATGCAAAGATAATCAGTGTTACACCGGATTAAACAGCAAAGTCAAGCCTACACAGTTTAAAGTCATTAAATCAAATAGTACACCTTGCGACTTGGCCTTCAAATTTCCATCATGTATTTTATCATCATTCCTCAGATAAACGGTAGATTACATATTCCAGAATATCTAGAAAGCTAAGGAGACTTAGCTGGTATACTATGGATACAAATTCATTCTACAAATTAAGAGAAGATAGTTTCCAACATAGAAGGCTGCAATGAAATTTAATGCCAACATGCCCTTCCTAATTATATGATAGATAGTGAGAATGTTAATAATAACACAACGAGACGGTTTTTCCATTTTTCTGTATTATTGAAAGCTAGATTGTGTAGTTAAATGGATTTCTCTGTTCTCTCATCAAGCATGTTGGACCTGTTTTTGTCATACTATCCAGAAAATGAAATTGCAAAAGAACTATGCATGAAATATCAATAATGAACTGTCTGCTTAAAGTCAGCATGGTTCATTCTACCTCTCCATAAGGCTTATGTCGACATTAAAAATATACAATAACATTATGTAAGCAATTTCAACATGTTAAAAACATGAGTAGCAATCTATAAATAAAGCTAGAAATTGTCTAACACTCAGCAGATAATCCTCCTAAAATATTGTGTGCGAAGTACCTTAACTGACCTGAGAATCATGAAAACTGGATGGAGAACTGCAACAGTGGTTATAATTACAATTTCAGTCAGTAAGCGTCTAGTTATTATATACACAGTTGAAATCCATCCGAAGGAACAGTTATTACCCTGAAAAAAGTAAAGAAAACAATCATATACACAGTTGGAATCCATCTTGAGCAAATTTCCCAGAGAATTAACTAAGAAAACTTACAGGCTCAAAGATATGTTTCTGCATAGCCATCTTCTCAACAAGAAAAGAAGAAGGGGAGAATACAGGGAGAGAGGCTGTAAACGGCTTATAAATACATATGCTAATAAACTAATAACGGCTTATAAATTTTATTTTAGTAGCAAACGAAATATACAGATATACAAACACATTAGAAGTGGCCATTCTCGCAAGGATCTTCAATTAAACAAAACATCTCGAGTTAACAAGCCAAACTACAGAAAGAGAAATTACACTAAACCTAAGAGACAATACTCCTCCAGAATTGATTAAACGAAAAACAATGAAAGAATAAACTAGCAAATTTCTCTTCTTCTATGTTGTGTGCCAAGTTCACATGAACTGACTCTAGAGGAGGCACACCTTCATAAGATTCTCAATGATTAGTCTGCTGTTTACAGCAACAAGCACTACTATACAGAGGTTAAACAGATCTGCGTGGCTCTGTCATTTAAAGTGAATAAAATGGTGAGCATTATATATGCATTAACCATCAGATCTGATCTAAAACTTAAGCCAGAAATAACAAGGCGTGTTAGCCATAGTTTTACGAGTGTATAGTATACTTGATGTCATTTCAAGATAGTTTGAACAAATATTCCATCACAGAAAAATTCCTTCGATAAGCAGTCGGCCAAAGCATAATTTCACTTCAGAAACAGAAAATCGACCTCAGATAGTCGTTTAATATTTCCAGCTATCCAGTTTGTGACTACTTATGATATCTAATAGGAAGAACGGATGTATATACGAATGTAATGGCGAGTTCAATAATATGACAGCTAAAATAAACCAAGAATTTCAACATACTTCTCTGAATATCGCTACAGAGCTCAGAGGCTCGTCGGCCGATACGTAAATTTCACAGCGTAAACATCAAAATTGGCGTTACCTCGACTCTCGGCCTTGTCACCGGATCCTTCTCCGGTTCCATTAGATTCGGATTTTCAATAGCGTCATTTCGATCCTTAACCTCCTCAGAGCTCTTTGCAGCCAATAAACCATTAAAACTTGCATGATCCGGAGGCGAACTATCACTTCCACGAATGTTCGGCCTCAAATTTTTATCGTACTCGTCTCCACCGGCTGTAGCACTCGGTCTCCTACGAAGGAACCGGCTGGCATCCACGGCGGTTTACGAGCTATCCAAGGCGGTTGTACTCTCGAGTGCATCGGTGATCGCCGTCCTACAAACGAAAACATCAACAATAGACGGAATGAGAGAGAAAATCCGAAAAGATAAGCCGAGACAAAACCGGAGAGAACGACGAAAATAAATTAACAACCGAATCAACCGCGCACAGATGGTTTAGAGAGAGAGCGGGAGCGGGAGAAACTGACATATTCAATGAACTCAACGTTGCGCCAGAGAGAACAAAAAGAGTCCCCGAGGAAGACCGAAAAACAATATTGGATGATTATGTTATTCTACGTGTAAATGAAAGATATAAATACGGTTAGCTTTGTAGGTTTGTTTATAAAATAATTTTTTTTTATTAGTAAATAAAAAAGGATGAAAGAAAATACATGTAAAATAAAAATGAAAGGGCAAAAACGTGAATAGACAATTCTCTTAAGAAACCCATATATAAGGAGGCCATGTCTCCAATACGGACATTCTAAGCCAAACATCGTAAGATGCTTCAACATTTCATGTTATTGCAAGAACTATTGAACATTTCATCTGTCCAAGCACTGTTCTAAAACGTTTTTGGGGGGCGTCTTTTTATCCCACGTCGAAAGTGCTTCCACGTTTTGTGTCCTATATAAGCTTTAGGCAACACTTGGAACCGGTTTGGTTTCAGAATTTGTTCTTTTCCTATCGGTATATGCTTATTTAAGCATTATGACTAAGGGTTATTCCTACTTAAGAAAGCTCTAGCCAAAGACTTGTTAACGACGTTAGCAGATGAACTTTTGCTCGAAGTTGTTAACGAGACTTGTCCTGCAAAGCTATGGAGTCGACGGGTACATGAGGGAGTCCCACATCCCCTAATTTAGGGAATGATCATGGACTATTTGAGAAATTTATGAAAGGTTATGTTCAAAGGGGACAATATCATACTATTGCATAGAGTGTAATTTCTAATATGACATTAAAGTCATGCCCTTAAGATAGATATGGAACAAAGAGTGTATTTTGTTTGAGGACTCAGGCTCTATAGTGTAGCCCTTAGAATCAGAAAAAAAAATACAAAAAAAAAAAAAAAAAAAGAGTCTCACTCAGTAAATGGCATCGACAAAAGTGGAGACGACTTTGAACGAAGAGGTCGGGGAGGAGGCATACAAGAGGAATCGTCGGCAGCAAAAAGGAATAAACTCGGAAATGGCCAAATTGGGATCTGGTTGGGTCAGAATCTGAGCACATGCCTTCCATTTTCGTCCCAACGCTGAAACAATGAACTTCTTAGCTTCAACTAACCACTCGAGGTACGGAAAGAAGACCGGTTATTTTCAGCGCTTCTTTTACAAGATCCGAGAAATTGAAGGAATAAAATTAATGAAAAAGTTTAATTTAACCTCTTTTATTATTTATCCTTTTCAGGACAGTAAAAAAATAAAAGAAATTAATGTGCCACGTGGGAGCACGCTCTACTACTTCACACGGAATGAAACTTGATGAAGCCACAACATCTCTGTACGACGTGTCGTTTCTCCCTCAGTCCTTTTCCTTTACAACTCTTGACGGCACGACCATTAGCTCATTCTTCCTTCCCCATTGGCCATTCAAATTGAGAGAAAAACCCGATGGGTGTAAGCAACAAGATCACAGCAATTGTGAATTTCTTGGCTCTCCTCTGCTCCATTCCTATAATCGGCGCTGGAATTTGGCTGGCTTCCAAGCCCGACAACGGATGCATCCATTTTTTCCGGTGGCCGGTGGTTCTCCTTGGCGTTTTAATCCTCCTCGTCTCCTTAGCCGGATTCATTGGTGCCTACTGGAACAGACAAGGGTTATTAGCCTTTTACCTCTTCTGTATGGCTCTTCTAATCGGCCTCTTGCTCGTCCTTCTCGTCTTCACCTTCGTCGTCACTCGCCCCAACGGCAGCTACTCCGTCATGGGCCGCGGATTCAAAGAGTACCGGCTCGACGGATTCTCGTCCTGGCTCAGGAATCATCTCACTAATTCTCGAAATTGGCCAAAGATAAGAACGTGCTTGGCTGAATCTAATACTTGTCCTAAGCTTAACCAGCTGTACGTCGCCGCCGATCAGTTCTTCGCGGCGGACATCTCGCCGCTTCAGGTCAGTTCCTTAATTCCAGGCTTGAATTTAGATTTTTTTTTAATATTTAATTTCTTGGAATATGCTCCATACGCCTCTGCTTTGATTTTGATTGGCTTTTCAGACCGCAATCCTGCTCGGTGAGTCGGTTGTTTAAAAATCAAATAATAATAATAATAATAATAAAAATAAAATAAAATAGCTTTAAAATTGTTTCTGGTTAAAAAAAAAATTAAAATAATATTTTGGTTTTTTTTTTAGGTTTATGGTTACTTTGTGCTTTTAAAAAATTCAGTTTTATAAGTTCTTTTGTCCTCAGACTTTTCACCATTAGTTTATTTTTAAAATTAATTAAAAAAAAAAAAAAGACTTTCTTGCTTTTCACTTTATAAAATTTAGAAATATATTTCATCTTTATGACGTATAATTTACTATTTAACAAATTTGGATAAAAAAATATTATTTGAAAAGACTAATTTTAAAGTTTAAGTCGTTTTTTTAAATTTATTTTTAAATATGGTGGTTCTCATTTCACATCAGATCCTAGAAACCTTGGTGGTCCGTATTGCAATGTTTTTTGGAATTTTTATTTTTTTTCGTGGTTTTGGATATATAAATATTTATTTTTTTTCTTAAAAGAAAATAAAAGGTAACCCATCTCTATCTCTTCCATCAGCAGGAGCATGTGACTTGTTGATGTTGGGTGTCCCAAGTCCCAACGACTTTTGGAGTCTAAAAGTCTCATGTATTTAATGATGATTTTTTTATTAAATATTTTTCTTTAAACTATAGTTTCATTTGGAAATTTTACCATACCATTCACTATTTTTTAACATTTGATTTGAAAGTTACCTTAATATAAATATATATATTATATATTGATTTTGTAATGTAAAGGGTAAATAAAGGGTGTCAATTTCTTTTTTTTTAATCAACGTTGAGGAATATTGATATAAAGCGCTTTTTGGCAAATAAAAATATATTCCATAGCCTTTAGAAAATTTCAGGGATGTTTTTTATCCTATTGGGATAGAAGTATTCTTCACTTTTACGGTTCAAGTCGGTATTTACTGAGCAAGAATTTGGAATCATTTTCTTTTTCATTTCCTTGTGTTCACTCCATTCGATCTTACTTGTAAACTCCCGAGTGATCCCCTATACCAATAAGGTGCATTTTTTTTCTTTCGGTGAATCAATCATTTTCTCGAAGCAATTCTATATTGAGTGATCCCTTAAAAAGTGTATAGATTTGTAGGGAGAATAATCTTCACTTTTGAAAGCAAGAAGTAAGTAATGTGATCATGTCGGAGGTACGAGGTGTCCGAGTTCTTACCTCCTTCTAAGGCCATTGTCAAAATGGGGCCTAGACATAATACACATTGGGTAGGCACTTTTGGTGGTTGAGGTTGTGACCAACCGTAGACTCACTAGGACAAAGCAGGGGCCCAAGTTTATGTAAATTTTGGGGAAAGGTAATTTTAGGGTGGCTAATAAAATCTCAAACAATCACCTAAATGACAGCTCAGATTTCATAACCCAACAATAAAGTAGACAGCTCAGATCTTATTGGGGGTCCATTTTGATTCCAAACCTGTTCATATAGCTCTAAATTGGTTGATATGGCTGCCAGCTAATCAGTCCATTATGAGCATTCGAGTCTTGGAAGGAACTTAAAAGCTTACGTCTTGGTTTTTACTGCCGTGAACAGTCAGGATGCTGTAAACCTCCAACGGCTTGTGGTTATAACTTCGTGAACCCAACACTGTGGCTGAACCCTGGTAATCCTATGGCTGACCCTGACTGCTATGTTTGGAGCAATGACCAGACCCAGCTGTGCTACAATTGCAACTCTTGCAAGGCTGGTCTCTTGGGGAATCTCAGGATGGAATGGAGGAAAGCCAATGTGGTTCTTATTGTCACTGTGGTTGTCCTGATTTGGGTCTATGTAATCGGCTGCAGCGCCTTCAAGAACGCTCAGACCGAGGACCTCTTTCGTCGATACAAACAGGGTTGGATCTAATCTTGTTTGTTTGTATGAATCAGACGTCTTCGCCTTTGTATATTCCTTTGTTCTTTTCATATCTAGAAATCCTGAGTTTGTAGAGTTGGAAGACAGTAGAACAAAGTTCTCGAATCAGTTCTTTAAATGTTTATTAGTTTACTTTGCTTTGGATATTTGAGTTTCAACATCTTCTTATGCAGAAGGTTCATAAACATGTCAAGGGAGACAAGCTATTAGAACATGAACGATCATCAGCCAATTACCAAACAGAAACGCACTTACATTAAGAACTAATCACGAGCTGTCCGTTAAAGAAAATAAGCATTTTTCTTTGTGCTAAGAATCACGGATCTCCACGATGGTATGATATTGTCCACTTTGAGCATAAGCTCTCGTGGGTTTGCTTTGGGTTTCCCCAAAAGGTCACGTACCAATGGAGGTGTATTCCTTATTTATAAACCTCTGATCATTCCCTAAAGTAGCCAATATGGGATTCCTTCGCAACGACGATGTTCGAGTTAAAACAATTGTCGTGGCAATCTGTTCGCGTAATGTGCTAAGGATTCTATGGTGAAGGCAAGAGAACAGATTGGGGAAATGATGCAGAACCATTGTTAGGAGCAGGTTTGATGTTGAGAATTGAAGTAACCAAGTTGTGTATCTGAACGTTTTCGAAAGATGGGACTTTTCTCCCTCTTGCAAACCGTGGACCATGGCCAATGAAAATGGTTCTCATGGAAAATATGGCATTGTCATACCCATGATCTCCTCCACACTCCTTCCCTTTACTGTTCTTCATCTCCACCTTAAATCCCTCGTCAACCAACCCGATCACTGGAGGAATCCGATCGCTCGCACTGTAGTGAAGCCGAGACGGAAGCTCTTCCTTGACATACATTTTCAGATATTTCCCATTCGAAACTTTCCCAGATTGCAAAGCTTCATTCATTTTCAAGACAACATCAGCAGGTGAAACATCAGAAGGTGGACGAATTGCCAGCAGAGGTGTTCTTGATTGAACCCACCTCTCTGGAATAACAATCCATGGAGATAAATCCTCAAGAAAAATCAACTTCTTATCACAGTTTCCGACCATTCCATGATCACCAACCAAGATTACATTAACATCCTCGAAAACCCCTCTTTTTTCCAGGCCAGAAATCAGTTTACCAAGCATTAGATCAATTCTAGCTACAGCATCAGTGATTTGTGGATCATCAGGACCAACCTTGTGACCCTGATGATCTGGGTCCTCAAAATACAGAGTCATGAACACAGGAATTTCCTCACTAGGCAAATCAAAGTACTGCAAAATCATATCTACTCGTTCCTCAAATGGAACCGAACCATTATAGTGATGGCAGAAATTTACAGGGCAAGACCATGAGCCTTTGTTTACCTCAGCACCGACCCAGAAGACTGTTGCTGCACTGAGCCCTTGATTGACCACCGTCTCCCACAGCGGCTCGCCGAGCCACCACTTAGGGTCGTGATTACCCATCGTGAAGGCGTCTCCGGTCACCGGATCGAGAAAAAAGTTGTTGATTATGCCGTGATGGGCGGGATAAAGGCCAGTGACGATCGAGTAATGATTAGGAAAAGTTAGAGTTGGAAAAACAGGAATCAAACCCCTCTCGGCCTCGGTCCCATTTGCAATCAGACGGTCAATGTTTGGGGTTGAGGTTTTGAATTGATACCCAAATCGAAACCCATCGGAGGAGATCAATAGAACCACTGGACGTTTCAGCTTAGAGAGAGTACGGGCGGTGGAGTTGACGCCGTCGGAAGTGGAGGCGGCGGAGAAGAAGAGGAAGGCGAAGGCAAAGGCGGCGGAGAGAGCGAAACAAGTACTGGAAGTAAGAGAAATGAATACAATGCTTCTTTTGTGAGATGGGTTTGAAGAGAGCAAAGCGGTGGACGGGCTAGACGAGTCTTCTTCCTGATCTGCCGTCGGGCTAGAGCAAAGCGGCGGATTGGAATCGGGACCCATATCGGAAGAACCAGTTCGTATACTCTCGTCTTCTTCCAGTCAGCAGCAGAGTGTATGATTCGCAGTTGTAATTTTTTTTTTTAATTTAAATTTATTATAGTACTTGGCGGCATAAATCATTTTATTTATACTAATCTCTCATGGGCTTGGCCCAAGGAAAACCGGCCTCCCGAATTAACTTGAATGGGCCGATCTAATCGAATAGGCCCAGAATAAAGTATCATCAAAACAGATGCGAAATCAGGAAACGACACCGTTTGGCGTCGCCGTAGAATTGACAGACAGAGGTAAGGAGCAGGACTGTAGAAGAAAGGCTTGGAGAACTGCAGCAGAGAGGGAGGCGGCAATGGCGTACCTGAGCATGGGAGAGGCACATAGAAGAATTACAGAGTACTTGAATCGATTTTCGGACTCTGTTGCGTCACAAGATGGAGCTTCTCTCAAATCTCTTCTTTCTCTCTCCTCCAATTCCCCCAATCTTCTCGCCCTCGCCGACTCTCTCAACGTTTTCCAGGTACTGTATCAAGTCTACAAGAGCTCTGATAATCGTCACCGTTTTTAATCATTGGTGAAGTTTAAGTTTGAGGATTGGTTTTTGACAGGATGCCAATCGTTTAATCAGACAGTCGGATAGATATTCTCAGTTTGGAGATATATTGGTGAACTTCTTTCGTGCATTGCAGTGTTACCGTCTCGGAAATTTGGTTGATGCCTATCATGCTTTCGAAAAATCCGCCAAGTATTTGTTTCCCCTCCAATCTACTTGATTTTTGATGCTTTACTTTTAGTTTGAAGTCGTGTAATTGTGCTTGTAATTGTGGAAATTTTCCAGCGCTTTCACTCAGGAATTTCGGTCTTGGGATTCAGCTTGGGCGTTGGAAGCATTGTATGTAGTTGCTTACGAGATTAGGATCATTGCGGAGAGGGTATGATCTTAGGTCTTATTTGGAATTTCATATGTTCGTTAACTGGTTAATTAGGCTTCTGTATTCACAGGCCGACCGAGAGCTCGCTTCAAATGGAAAATCCCCAGAAAAGTTGAAAGGAGCTGGCTCATTTCTTATGAAAGTGTTTGGTGTTCTTGCCGTATGTTTCTTTGTTCAAACAATTTATTGCGCTATTTTCCGCATTGATACTTTAGATTTGCGGATTTTTCTTGCATACATAAACTTTGTTGATTGTATTTTAGGGAAAAGGCCCTAAACGTGTTGGAGCATTGTATGTGACATGTCAGTTGTTCAAGATATACTTCAAGGTAAGAAATTGTTACTATAATCTTCAGATTCAGTTTGATATTTCTTTTCCCCGTTTTGATAACAATTGTTTTCGAAAAGTACCCAACTTTCCCTGCTGCACACTATCCATTGCATTTGAATTAATGACAAATAAATTCAAGTTGCCATATATCTGTGACAATGTTATCTGCCAGGATATCGTTGCGATCGAAATTAGAGAAACGTAGTTGGAGAAAGTCTCTGTTTAGTTGAAACGTTACGATTTATAGCAACTTTTTAAAATCATATCTGATGCTTAGCTTACTCTATGTATCTCTAGTTATATAATGATGAAGTAACTAATTTGATTGCAGCTTGGTACTGTGCACCTGTGCCGTAGTGTGATAAGGAGCATTGAAACAGCTCGAATATTTGACTTTGAGGAGTTCCCTAAAAGAGACAGGGTCAGAATTGGTTTTGGTTGCCTCCATTCCCACACACCCACCTACCCCCCCCCCCCCCCCCCCCCCCCCCCCCCCCCCCCCCCCCCCCCCCCCCCCCCC